AGCCCCGGCACTGATGAGGTACTCCTGGCCACCGCACAACACAACACACGGCAGTGAACGCCACACAAGGCAAATACCACCCATGAAACTGAGACCAGAGAAACGTCTATCCCGGTTGACATTAGCTTACGAACTGAAGCTTGGCAGCCGGCGCGGTAGGTCTGGGGCTCCCCCCTTCCCCTCTCGGGGCGGGGAGGGCTGCGCAAACGATCGGCGCGGCAGTAAAGTGTGATGTTTGTTTGTTTGCTTGTTTCCTTGGGATTGTAGGGAGTTTCTACCTCTCTGGTTGATACCTGGTTGATGGGGTTCTGGGAGTTTTTCTACTCCCCAAGCCCGGCCTAGGGCCAGACTTGACTTGTGAGAGTTTGGTCCACCAGGCTGTTGCTTGGAGCGGCCCGCAGGCCGACATACCCACCACAGCCCAGTTGGTCAGGCACTCCTTGAAGGAAACAATCTAGTTTCCTCTTGAAGATGTCCACGGTTGTTCCTGTAATATTTTTGATGCTCGCTGGTAGGACGTTGAACAACCGTGGACCTCTGATGTTCATACAGTGTTCTCTGATTGTGCCCATGGCACCTCGGCTTTTCACTGGTTCTATTCTGCATTTTCTTCCATGTCGTTCACTCCAGTAGGTTGTTATTTTACTGTGCAGATTTGGGACCTGTCCCTTCAGTATTTTCCATGTGTATATTATTTGGTATCTCTCTCGTCTCCTTTCTAGTGAGTACATTTGGAGAGCTTTGAGACGATCCCAATAATTTAGGTGCTTTATCTCGTCTATGCGTGCCGTGTATGTTCTCTGTATTCCCTCAATTTCAGCAATCTCTTCTGCTCTGAAGGGGGAAGTGAGTACTGAGCAGTACTTAAGACGGGACAACACAAGTGATTTGAAGAGTACAACCATTGTGATGGGATCTCTGGACTTGAAGATTCTCGTAATCCATTCAATCATTTTTCTGGCTGACACAATATTTGCTTGGTTATGCTCCCTACACGTTAGGTCGTTGGACATCATTATTCCCAAATCCTTGACATGCTGTTTTCCTTCTATGGGCAGATTCGATTGTGTTTTATACCCTGTGTTTTATACCCTGATCCTCATTTTTGCCTTATCTGAGTACCTGGAATTTATCACCGTTAAACATCATGTTATTTTCTGCTGCCCAATCGAAAACTTTGTTAATATCTGTTTGTAGTTTATCAATGTCTTCAGCAGAGGTAATTTTCATGCTGATTTTTGTATCATTGTATTTGGGGAGCCGGTCGGCCGAGCGGACAGCATGCTGGATTTCTGATCCTGTGGTCCTGGGTTCGATCCCAGGTGCCGGCGAGAAACAATGGGCAGAGTTTCTTTCACCCTATGCCCCTGTTACCTAGCAGTAAAATAGGTACCTGAGTGTTAGTCAGCTGTCACGGGCTGCTTCCTGGGGGTGGAGGCCTGGTCAAGGACCGGGCCGCGGGGACACTAAAGCCCCGAAATCATCTCAAGATATCATCTGCAAAGGATGACACGAAGCTGTGACTTGTGTTTTTGTCTATATCTGATATGAGAATAAGGAACAGCAGTGGTGCAAGGACTGCACCTTGAGGTACAGAGCTTTTAACTGCGCTCGGACTTGATTTTACTTGATTGACTGTTACTCTTTGTGTTCTGTTCGACAGGAAATTAAGTATCCAGCGTCCTACTTTACCAGTTATACCCATTGACCTTATTTTGTGTGCAATCACTCCATGGTCACATTTGTCGAATGCCTTTGCAAAATCTGTGTATACGACATCTGCATTATGTTTTTCCTCTAATGCCTCAGTGATTTTGTCATAGTGGTCAAGTAGCTGTGAGAGGCATGATCTTCCTGCTCTAAATCCATGCTGGCCTGGATTGTGGAGGTCATTGATTTCCATGAATCTAGTGACCTGACTCCTGATCACTCTTTCAAATACTTTTATTATGTTGGACGTTAGTGCAACTGGTCTATAATTCTTTGCCAATGCTTTGCTACCACCCTTGTGTAGAGGGGCAATGTCTGCTGCTTTAAGCGCATCTGGTATCTCCCCTGTGTCCAAGCTCTTCCTCCACACTATACTGAGAACCTGTGCTACTGGCACTTTGCCTTTCTTTATAAATATTGAATTCCATGAGCCTGGACCCAGGGCTGAGTGCACAGGCATATTGTCAATTTCTCTTTCAAAATCTGCCACGCTCGTGTTGATATCAGTTATATTTACAGGTGTTTGAGTATCATTCATAAAGAAATTGTCCGAATCTTCCACTTTCATGCTGAGTATCGGAGTGCTAAACATGTCTTCATACTGCTTTTCTAGGATTTCACTAATTTCTTTGTCATACTTAGTGTATGAACCTTCACTAATACGAATAGGTCCAATACTGGCAGTGGTTTTCGCTTTTGATTTAGCATATGTGATGAAATATTTTTGGTTTTCTTTATTTCTTGAATTGCTTTCTGTTCTAGTTGCCTTTCTTCAGTCTGATAGGAATGCTTCAGTCTCTGTTCGATTTCCTCAATCTCCCTGTTTAAATTATTTCTTCTCTGTATGGAGAGTCGTGTCTGCTTAAGCATTTCCGTTAATTTCTTCCTTCTTTTGTAATGTCGTCTGCATTCTCTTTCTACATTGGACCTCTTTCTGGCTTTCCTCAAAGGAACATGTTTCAGACTGACTTCATATGCTTCAGAAGTCAGTTTTTCTATTCCCTGTGTAGGATTTTTATTTCTTAGACACATTTTCCCATTGAATGTTAGTAAGTTCCCTGTTTATTTTCTCCAGTCTATCCTCTCTGTTCGTTTTTTTGTTTTAGTTTTTTACCATGTGGGGTTTGTTTTGTCATGCCTACCTTTCTGGGTGCCTGACCCCGGTCGATGGCAGATAAGGAACCTTACCTTGAGGTTACCTTGAGGTGCTTCCGGGGCTTAGCGTCCCCGCGGCTCGGTCGTCGACCAGGCCTCCTGGTTGCCGGACTGATCATCCAGGCTGTTGGACGCGGCTGCTCGCAGCCTGACGTATGAGTCACAGCCTTGTTGATCAGGTGCTTATCCAGTTCTCTCTTGAACACTGTGAGGGGTCGGCCAGTTATGCCCCTTATGTGTAGTGGAAGCATGTTGTACAGTCTCGGACCTCTGATGTTGAAAGAGTTCTCTCTCAGAGTACCAGTTGCACCTCTGTTTTTCAACGGGGGTATTCTGCACATCCTGCCATGTCTTCTGGTCTCATATGATGTTATTTCTGTGTGCAGGTTTGGGACCAGCCCCTCTAATAATTTCCACGTGTAAATTATTATGTACCTCTCCCGCCTGCGCTTAAGGGAGTACAGTTTTAGGCTCTTTAGTCGGTCCCAATAGTTTAGATGTTTTACTGAGTGGATTCTAGCAGTAAAGGATCTCTGCATGCTCTCCAGGTCAGCAATTTCTCCAGCTTTGAAAGGTGCTGTCATTGTGCAGCAGTACTCCACTCTAGAGAGCACAAGCGTTTTGAAAAGTATCATCATCGGTATAGCATCTCTAGTGTGAAAATTTCTTGTTATCCAACCTGTCATTTTTCTTGCAGTTGTGACGGCTACTTTATTGTGTTCTTTAAAGGTAAGGTCTTCCGACATGAGTACACCCAGATCCTTTACATTGCCTTTTCGTTCTATGTTATGATTTGCCTGAGTTTTGTACGTGGTTTCCGTTTTTATATTTTCATTTTTTCCATAGCGCAAAAAAACCCTATATAGGGTTTTTTCATAGTTGGGAAAACCCCAACCACAAGAGGGTTTTCCAGTGTCATTGCTCCCTGAAACCTCTCTGAAGGGGCCAGGTTCTGGTGCTGGTCCCTGGTAGGTCTGAACTCCTTAGCTAATGTCCCGGTCTAATATAACATACATTAGCCCGATAAGCTCCAGGGAGCCGTAGGGGCTCCCCACAGAAAAAGAAATATCTTCTCTGTTGCCTGCGTGCTGTGGCTGGGGATGTGCTTTGGGTTGATCTGGCTTACCTCGTTCCTTGTTCCAGGGCTTGGGTCTCCCAGATCGACCGCAGGATTATTAAGTCTAGCCAGCCTGCGGTCTATCCTCCCGCCCATGCCGTTCAGACGTTTGCAGCTTTCGCTGCCGTGTTTGGTAACATGTCTTGGGTTCATTTCGGGCACTGGGATTTGAAGGTCGCACAGGTTACTGGCTGCCCATTATTTTATGAGCGTGTCTGCTCCTGGGTGTTCTTGTTTTGCTTTGGTTTGCAGGTTGCAGGTTGTTGTCTCGACTTCACATTGTAGAGTTTGTGGCGGCCGCCTCCCGGGTCAGCCCTTTCTTTTCCTTCTCTTTGGGTATGAAGCTCCAGGGAGCCATAGGAGCTCCCCTCAGAAAACCAGCATTGAATGTAATGAAACACCATTATCTGGGTAAGCCCCAAAGGCTCCCTAGCAATCCTCCCTCTCACCGGTCGGCGTTTTTTTCATGTTTGTTGATGCTTAACTTCCAAACTGGAGTGCTGTGCAGGCGGAGCAGTGAGATCTGGGGCCCCCCTCCCCCTCTCTGGGAGGGTAGGGCTGCGCGGACAGGTGGCGCTGCAGTAGTGTGTTATATTTGCTTGTTTTGTTGGGATTGTAGGGGGTTCTACCTCTCAGTTCGGTTTTTATTGTTAGTTTCTTACCATGTGGGGTTTGTTTTGTTATGCCTACCTTTCTGGGTGCCTAACCTCGGTCGATGGCAGATAAGGAAAACCCCCAACAACAGGTGGGTTTTTCCAGGGCTATTGCTCCCTGAAACCTCTCTGAAGGGGCCTGGTTCTGGCTCATGGTCCCTAGTAGGTCTGAACTCCATAGCTAATGTCCCGGTCTAATATAACATACATTAGACCGATAAGCTCCAGGAAGCCTCCGGGGATCACCCAGAAAATGGCGTTTCATTACATTCAAGGCTGTTTTTTTGTAATTTGTATTAAATTAGTGGTTAAAATCTTTCAAAGATATAGAAACAAAGTGTAAATGTTCCACAAATTCTTTACAGGCTGTAGTGAAGTCTGAAGGTGTGAGTGACCAAGCAGTAGAGTCTCAAGCAAATTCTGAAGAAAAGTATGGATCAGCAGAAGTTCATGCACAACAAGTTAAAAGGGAGCTGCGTCCTCAGCTTATGCAAGCCCAAGTAGATGTTCGCACTCTAAAAGACTTAAACTTGAATATAAGCAACTCACTTGTTGTTATTGAAAGGTATAAATTTTCTTTGTTGTCATTGACATATATGAAGTTATTGACTTTAATTACTAGAGTGAAGTATTCTCTTTTATTAATGAAAAAGGAATTCAGTCTTTTGTTTCCATATGCTCTCTTGACAATGAATTGCTTGCTATGCAGCAGTTTCTTTGGCACATGACCTAGTGTAAGAGGGTCAAGGTGGTTATTAACAATTATGCATTCTGATGATACTAAAACGTATCATCCATACTCTGACAGTAAATGTTCCATTGATGCTAAATTGCATCATCTGAATGCTATTCATAAACATTCATATATTCATCATTGTTACATATATATTCTATTGTAAATACAATTGCATTTACTTCTGTTCTCTAGATAATTAGGTTTTGAACATTTTGACACCAAATTTATAGTTATAACCCAAAACATAACTTCAAATTATTGTGAATTTAAACATAGCTGATCAGGGCCTGCCAAGCTAGCTAATTTTATGTTCAGAATCACATGGAAAGAAGCAAAATCTATTATAAATACACCATCTGGTTTTGAAGTTATTCTCTAGACACTATTTGTAAATATTTTTATACCAAATATATAGTTAATGGTCATCCAGAATGTGGGACAAAGGATGAACTGGTTCAGCTTTGAAAGGTTGAGGATTAACTGGAGATTTGTCGTGTCCCATTTTAGAACTGGGAAGAGGCAGGAAATCGAACGAAGTAATGCAATTCTTTCTATCACACCAGAGCAATCCATTCTTTTTGTGTCTGGAATCTTCAGAGAACCAAACACAATAAGAATTCCAGAGAACAACATAGAACACATAGAGGTGTCAAGAGACATAGTGGAAAAAATGCTCAAGGAGCTCAAGCAGTTGGCCCAGATAGAGTTTCACCATGAGTTCTGAGAGAATGCGCACATTACCAAAACAGCAGCCGAATGCCGATCTTACGAACGGCGTGGGCATGGGAAAAGACCGCAGGCTGGCTGGACCAAATAATCCTGTGAACTATCTGGGAGACCCGCGCCCTAAAATAGGGAAGAGGGGAATCTGGGTCAACCCAAAGTGCGTCCTCTGCCACAGAGGGTGTAACGCCCAAATAACGGCGAAGAGCCACAGACACAAAACAGGATGCAGCCTCGGCCAAACCAACCAAGCATCAACAACTCAAGGACCCTTTCGGAAAGCAGTAGACTCATTCTTCTCCGGAAAAGAAGGAGACGGCCGCAAATGAAGAAAAGACCACCAGGAACAAATGAGCAGAAACCCCTGTGCTGGAGGAGAGCATGAAACTCACCGACCCGACCCCCAAAAGACAATGCCAACAAGAAAAGAGCCCTAGAAAAACAGTTCTGAACTGAGGGGGCCACCCCAAACCAAGGAGAAGGGAAAAAAGAGCACCCGATGCAACGACTAGGACAACTCAGGTGGCGCATGAGCAGGCCGGAGGTGAAAACAACGCCCAATAAAGCTTTTGGAACAGAGCAGAAGTGACATCCACCCCAAATGGAAGCCGCAGCAGCTCCGAAAGTGCCACCCGAACTCCTACGCTGTGCTGTGAGCCCGACAGAAGGACGGACTCCCCTGACTCTGGCCGGCCTGGTGAGCACTGTTCACAAAATCCCAGCTGAGAGACAAGGCATCCATGAATACAGCGAGCGAGGGCTCGGGGAGGCGTCACGGCATAGAACCCCGAAAAAAATGTCAGAGGAAGCCGGCGACGCAGCAGCCGACGCAAGGTTTCCGGGATCTGAACACAGCAATCACAAGAGCGGTGGAAGGGACGCCCCCTAAAGAAACCAAAACATCCGCTGAAGCCAGATCTGACCTGACTGGTAGACCAGCACGGCCAAGATCAGTAGGCTTAGAACTCCTTCGATTGACTGTTGCTATGGTCTAATATATACACATCAGCACATCTGCCCGGGTATAGCTCTGGGGAGCCAAAGGGGCTCTCCACAGACAGTTTATTGACAGTTGAGAGGCGGGCCGAAAGAGCAAAGTCTCAACCCCCGCAAACACAACTAGGTGAACACTAGGTGAACACAGAGAAGCCTGCCCGCACCCACTCAAAACTGCCCAAAGCCCGCCCACCAGCCTGAACCCAACATAGCCTGCCAAAAAAGCCCGCCCACCCACTCAAACCTACATATAATACAAAAGCATTAAGAAAATGTTTGTAATAATTTTTATGCATGAGGTAGTCTATATCCTAACTCATTGGTAATTACCAATGGACATTACATTAAATTTGCAATTTGATAGAAAAACAAAAGTAACAATTTTTATAAATGGAATATTGCAGAGGACTGGATACCCTCGAGAATGAAGCAATTTCTGCTGGTGCTGCAAAATTAAAGGAAGATGCTGTTCAGTCCAGTGAAGAAGCTGATGGAGCCATTCTCACCATATCTAATGTTGAAGGGTTATTAACTGAAGCAGGTGACAATGCACGTTTGCTAATGAGGAATGTAGCTGAGGGAGAAAAGGCTATAGAACTAGCCCATAAACAAGGTTAGTTTAGCATTAACAATTGTGCTTGCTTCTTATTGTTGTTTCTGGCATTTTTCATATTACAGTGGACCCTCTGTTTACGAATTTAATCCGTCCCAAAAGACAGTTTGTACACCGAAAATTTGTAAACCGAAACAAATTTTTCTTAAGAAATAATGTAAATTGAATTAATCCGTTCCACACACTTAAAATATTAACTTAAAATATTAACTTAAAAATATATTTTATACAGAATATTACTCATGAGTTCCATACCTTTATTGTGGACTCTTGTTGGTGTATGGAAGACAGTGAGGAGGGGAGGAAAGGAGGAAAACTGTTAGTGTTTGGTAACACTAACAGTTTATAACATCAGGCAATGATGTATTATAACATACCAGGCAGGTATTATAACATCAGGCAATGATGACTTCTCTAGGGTGCTCTCTTATGTTTTGCAAGCATACCTCCGGGTGTCTCCCAGAAAATGGTGTTTCATTACATTCAACACTGGTTTTTTATTTGTGACTGACATTTTGCCTATTTATTTATTTATTTTGAAAGTATAATATGCATTCTTTTGTCTTTCTTATGTGCTTAGTTGAGCGAGTGGAGCAAATAACTCCAGAGATGACTCGGCTTGCTTCTAAACTTCGTGGTCAAAAAGAAAATATTCAAACTCTTGGAATTGATGTTGGGAATCGTCTGGAAAAGCTACGTCGCACAATTCTGAAGACACGTGATTTGGCCAACAAGATTAAAGTGGGTGTATCATTCCTGCCTAACACTACAATAGAATTAGAAAATCCAGAGGACCTGACTAAAGCTGCCACTTCTACAAAGGTAACTAAAATTTATACAAATAGTAAATTATTATTAGGGGATGGCAGTTAGGCCTTGGACAGTTTTGTAATATACAGTACAACCTCGATTCAATGCACTATATGGGACCAACCCCGGTTTGTTGCAGGGTTGGATTCGTTACAAGAGGTGACCTTCAAGAGGCGTTTGCGTCAGTGTCTTTTTTTTCTTGTAAACAATAAAAATGCATTATCATATTATATACTGTACCTATATATTACTACTCTACTAAAAAATACTGTGTTACAGTTGTTATTTACCTTATTGTTGGAGTTATGTCCATCTTAAATTTTCATGGAGTTGTGAATGCTGTACAGTAAATACGTACTGTACTGGATTATGCCGTTAGCACTGTATTGATTAGTTGTTCTGCTGCATGTTGAGTACTACAATACAGTTTATGAAAACTATTTTATATTAAAATTACTGTATAGCAATCTTAATTATAACACTATGTACTTAAATTTAACACCTGTTTTAACTGTACACTCCACACATGATGTTCTTTGATGTTTGCATCAGCTTTGCTGGTGCTCGCTGCTACTGTGTTTGCTTCAGCTGGTTCTGAGCTGGTGCTGGCTGCTGTTGTACTAGTGCTGGGTATGGCTGTGCTCGTGCTGGGTATGGCTGTGCTGGTGCTGGGTACAGCTGTACTCATGCTGGGTATGGCTGTGCTCGTGCTGGATATGTCTGTGCTCGTGCTGGGTACAGCTATGCTCGTGTAGATACAGCTGCGCTGGTTGATTTTCTGCTACTAGTTATTGCAAAATATTGACTCATTTTCTGCACTATTAGCAAACCCTTGAGACATCTTGTAGTATAACAATACAGCTGTAGTCAAAAAATGGTGAAGTCCACAATTATTCTTCCACCAGCGGACAAAAATGTCACTCGCAGAAAAAGCTATTGGCACTGGGTGCCTACTGAATGAACCCAGACTAGGTCTATACACTCTACAATAGGCTGGTGTTTAAGCCAGATCCAGTAACATAAATTTCTCTCAAATATTGAATTTACATCGAATTATATATTTCTGGGGGGAGTCCTTTCGGCTCCCCGGAACTTACTAGGCTGATGTGCTAATGTCAGACTTTGGCATCAGTCATGTGTATGGAGTTTTGTTGGCCTACCGGGGACCATGAGCCAGAACCTGGCCCCCTCAGAGAGGCATGGGAGCAATGGCCTATAGAAACCCCTGTATGGTTGGAAGCATTCTATGTCTCCATCGACCGGGTCAGGCACCCAGGAAGGTAAGCATCCCAAAACAAACAACCATTTTGGTGAAAATATTGCTACCAAAAGCCGAACAACTGGATAGAACTAAAAGAAACAAGCAAACGAGCATGACATCACACGCCACCGCACCACTGTCTGCGCAGCTTCCCCCTCCCTGGAAGGGGGAAGGTGGAACCCCAGATTCCCCGCACCAGCTATCCACCCATCAGTTCTCAGGCTGATGCTAGAGGCGGAGGTCGTGTGCTTGGTTCCAGCTTTTCCAGCACTGTGTTTTGGGTGTGGTGGCTGTCTTCTGTGGGTGCAAGAGCCATGAGTTATTCTTCAGTACTTGAGCTGTATGTGCCTAGGGTTATCGTCCCTGGGTGCCCTGTAAGTACTGTCCTTGGGGCTTGGGGTTAAATTCCACAAGTTCCTTGGGGTTTGCCTCTGCTAGGCTGTATTACTGCTCAGTTTTCAGCTGCCCTTTGGGTGAAGGGCGCTGGGGGGGGGGGGTTTGTCTTTCTGGTTTACCTTAGGGAAAGAGGCAGTTTGCATTGGTAGGGCACAGGGTACTGCGCAGCTTGTTTTCACCACTTACAGCAGCCGGCTCTGTTCCTTTAGGTGCGTTGTCCTCTTGTGGGGTTTTGTTTTTCTTTTTATTTTTGCCTTGTAGGGGGGGTCTGCCTTGTTCCCCCTTTTTTTGTGCCTGACCTGTGTACGGTTGTTTTCTGGTGGTGCCCCCCTGCTAGGTCCCCATGAGTATACGTCCCTGGGGGTTCAGCTTTAGACAGTTGTTTGGTAGTTTTGGGCGCTGGTTAGCAGTACCCTGCCTGGTATTACCTGGGCGTGAATTTCCGTTAAGCACTCAGGACCCTGGGAAACCCCTAGGGGGCGCATGGATCCGATGGATGTGTCCCCGGAGTGTTCCCCCCTTCACTTCGTGCGAGTACTATGGTTGCTCGGTCCGCTTGACTCAGGGTGACCCTCACGGTTTTTGCCTCCATCACGCTGCCTGTTGGGTCGGTGACACCTTCGACCTGGAGTCATGCTAGTTCTGTTGCTTGCTAGTGACTCAGTTTACCCAATCTCAAGATGATGTTCTACAGGTACAGGTGACGCAGGCGTTGCATGCTTGTATTAGGTTAATGCCCCGAGGCTGCCCCGTTTTGCTTGTAGGGACCCGGAGTTGGGGGTGGGGGTCGCTTCGACCTTGGTTCAGTCCGCACCCCCCCCTCGTCCTTCCCCTGCTGTAGTGTGTCCTGGTCTCCCCCCCCCCATTTCAGCTTTGGTTTCAGCTTTGCACTTCTTTTCCCTCCTGGAGCTGTCTTTGGACTGGCTTGGGGAGGACGTGGGGTCTCTCGGGGCCGTTCTGGGGTCCAGTGCCTTGGGCTTAGTGGTGCACGCGTCGTCTGCCTTGTTGAAGCTGATTGCACCGATCTTGCGTGATGCGGTTTTCCTGTTCTACGCTTCCCGGCTCGAGTGTCGGCAGGCAGAGCTTGCCTCCTCTTTGGAATCGGCCTGGGCCCTGGTTCTTAGGATGTCTTCACCTTTTTATCCTTTGCTTTTTGCTCCTTTGGCCGTGGCGCAGTATATTCAGGCTACTTCGGCCAGTTGTCATCGTATGTCTGACTTGTTGATGTCGATTACCTTGACGCCTGACTGGTTTGGGCTCCCAGCCAGTCTAGTTGTCTGCTAGCCAGGGATTTGGTGCTTTCACTGCTCGCCGGGTTTGGGTTCATGGTGAACTGGAGGAAGTCCCATCTAGTTCCCTCCCAGGTTCGGTCGTGGCTTGGTCTTGTGTGGGACTCTCGGACCGCTTCCTTGTCTCTTCCTCCAGAGTCTCTTCTCCAGCTGCGGTCCCATTTTCGCCTGTTTCTGGTGGGCTCCTGGGTCAATTTGGCGGTTGCTCGAGCGTTTGTGCGGGAGCCTGAATTTTGTGATGATGGTCTACCTGCCGGGTTGGGTTTGGCATCGTCGGCTGTTCTGGTTCCTTCGGAGTTGTCCCTTCTGCCTTTCTCATGATAGCCGGGTTTGACCCCCGGAGGCCTTGCGTCGGCTGCTGCGTCGCCGGCTTCGTCGGATTTTTCAGGGTTCAGTGTCTTGGTGTCTTCCTGTGCCCTTGCTCGAGGTGTTCACGGATGGTTCGTATCTTGGCTAGGGCTTTGTGACCAGTGCTCACCAGGCCAGCCAGGGGCGGTGGGGTCCGTCCTTCCGTCGAGCCAACAGCACGGTGCGGGAGTTTGAGGCAGTGTGGTTTGTGCTTCGGAGGGTTCGGGTCGCCCGCGGATCAATGATCCGGCTACATTCGGACTGGTCCCCAGTGGTTCATTGCCTGAACCGTGGGGTTTCGGTGCGGTCCTTGGCTCTTTGTCACTGGTCGCTTCGAGTGACTTGTCTGCTTAGTTCTCGGGGTTTTTCTCTCCTGGCTGTTCATGTGCGGGGAGTGTCCAACATCTTGGCCGGCGGCCTGTCTTGTTTCGTTCCCCTATCCTTCCGTTAACTCTGCCAGACGTTCGGGCGCCCTGAGGGGGATCTCTTCACGTCGGCGTGGTCGTGGCACCTCCCCCAGTATGCCTACCAGTATATGTGGCGCCCTTCCCCAATTGCAAGGCCGTCGAGGTCGATGACTTATGGCAAGACTGGTTGAGGTGGGGGTTCCTGTACCACTTTCTCCCGGTTCAGCTGTTGCTCCAGGTCCTGACTTGCTTGAAGACCTACCAGGGGAGAGTAGTCCTCTTGGCCCTGTGGTGGCCAGCCCAGCCGTGGTTTCAAGCACTGCTTGCCCAGTGTCCGAACCTGGAGGTTTTCCCGAGGCTCCACTTCTTCCAACAGATCGGCCTGGTGCGTCACGTGGCTGGTTCAATCTTCTCCTCGAGTCTTCGCGTATGGTCTTTTTTACTTGGATTTATCATCATCTCTATGGTGATTGGGTGGCTTCTTTGTTGGTGTCCCACCTGCGAGCTTCGTCTCGGCAGCAGTATGAGGTCTCCTGGTGGTCCTCCCGGTTCTTTTTACATCTTCGTTGTTGCGCTTTGCTTTCTGTTCAGGTAGTCTTGTCCTTTCTCTCTTTGTTATTCCAGGACCGTTACCTTATGCCTAACACTGTCGCCTCGTATTAAGCGGTGCTGGCGGAGCCGCTTCAGCTTGCTTTCGGTGTTCTTGATACTTCTGCGCCATTTCACAAGCTGTCTCGTGCTTTGTTTCACCTCCGACCTGCTCATGAGCTGCCTGAGCCGTCCTGGTCTTTGGACAGAGTGCTCTTTTTTTCTTTCTTCTCCTCGGTTTGTTGCGGGCCCCTTCAGTTCAGGATTGTTTCTCCAAGGCTCTTTTTCTGTTGGCATTGACCTTTGGGGGTCGGGTTGGGGAGCTTCATGCTCTTCTCCGGTGCAGGGGTTTCTGCTGCTTTGGTCTTCGTGATGGTTTTGTTCGGTTACAGCCGTCTCCTACTTTTCTGGCAAAGAATGAGACTGCTGTTTTCTGGAGGGGTCCCTGGGCTGTTGATGCTTGGTTGGTCAGGCTGGGTGTGCATCATGTTGTGTGTCCGGTTGCGGCTCTTCGCCGTTATTTGCGCGCCACGGCTTCTGTGTCCAGGGACACGCTTTGGGTTGATCCGGTTTTCCTTCTTCCCTGTTCGCGGGTGCGGGTCTCCCAAGTCATCTATCCCCATGCCCATGACGTTCGTAAGTTCGCTGCTCTTGCTGCCGTCTTTGGCAACATGTCCAGGGCTGACATTCGGGCACGGGGCTTTTAGCGGTCAAACAGGGTCC